TTGCACTGCCCAGAGCGGTCCTTGTACACGAGGTACTGCAGGGGAGGGGCAGGGCAGGGGAGGCAGGGCAGCACAGAAATGGTGAGAGCCTCCGATGATGACACATCTGGGAAGTTGGCCGCGTCTGCAGGTGTGCTGACAGTGAGCGTTGAGGCATGCCCTGCCTGCTGCAGCTGCGTCTGCCTGGTTTGTTCCCCTTGCCTGCCATCCCTGCCCTTCCTGCCTGGCATTGCTTCCGCACACTGGCACATCCCCCTCGCCTCAACCGGCCCCCACAAGGCAAGCCAAGAACAGCGAAAACGACGGGCACGACGCGCCTCTGGAAACTCCCAGCCGTCCCCCCAAAAATAGTCGACGCTGCAGAGGAGGAACAAGTGGGAGGCGTGCCAGCACACGTTTGGGTTGGTGCATGCGCCTGCTGCGGGAGGCAGGCGGTTAGGCACTCGACCATGCATTCGATTCTTGCAGGGCCAGTGGGTTGGGACGGCGGACCGCATGCCACTCACCACTCAAGGCACGCCGTCGCGTTGCAGCGTGTGCACAAGGGGAAGGCGCACTCTGCAGGGGCGAGGGCGGGGCTTAACCTCCATGAGATCAGGGAGCGCTGCGGCCTCCCCTGCATCGCGCGCACGTCGTGCCCATGGACCGCAGTTGGCCCCAAGGGCCCCGCCGGCGCGCCTTCCCCTCTCACCCTTGCAGACGCCTTTGTCCATGAAATGTCCAACGTTACCTGAGAATGGGGGTGCCAGCGGGCAGCGGCGGGGGAAGCTGAGGGCCTGAGGACCGGCAGCAGCGGCTGCCGGCACGCCCTCGACCTCGCCCCAGCGCTGTGCATGCTGGAGCCTGGTGCAGCGCTTGCTTCCCAGAAAACCTTGAGCCCCCCCCGGCCCTGCTTACATTTGGAGCACTTCCCAGTAGAATCACAGGCAGCGCAGGGACCAGAAAACAGGCCGGGGCTGCACCCAGGCAGCAAAGGGGTGGTGGAGCTCAGTGGGCGTGCTCAGTGCAGCGCGCCGCCGGTGCAGCAATTGGGCCCGCCTGCCGCCACTGGCCTGCTTTTGCCCGTCGCCTGGCGCACGCATCTTCCCCCACACCGGCCGCCCCCATATGTGCCCCCCGCACGGGCCTCCTGACATGGGCCTTGCAACCACCCTCCCATGTGTATTTGCCTCACCACGCCTTGCAAATGCCGGTCTTGGGGTCGAGGTACAGCAGCGGGGAAGGGTTGGTGTAGTAGTCGGCAGTGTTGCAGGTCAGGGTGCGGTTGGCGGTGCAGGTGGCGGCCCACTTGTCCTTGCAGGGGGCGCAGAAGCGCGAGGCGTCCACATAGTACCCGTCTCGGCACTGCACCAGAAGGGGGAGAGGAGCGTGGGTGCAGCAATGATGTCGGCGGCGGCGTTGGAGGTGCAGCGGGCAGGGCGAGGCGCACACGGAAGCTACAGGAGAGGAGGGCCGGCGGGCCAGCGGCATGTCCCGCACGTAGTTGCCATGCCCTCTCCCCAGAAAGGGCTGCCACCAGCAGCTGGCCGTCGGCCGGCCAGACCATGCAGCAGGCACGCGGGGGCTCATCCACGTGGTGCACCACGCAGCGCCGCCAGCTCCCACCTTTTTGCAGCCCACGTAATCAGCAGTGCACTTCTCGCACTGTTCGTTCCAGCTGAACGGTAGCAGGACAAAGGAAACAGTGATGCGACAATCGAGGCAGTCGGAGCTCTGGCAGCAGATGACAGGCAGCGGTGGGCGCTGCGCCCGGCAGAAGCGGCGGCAAGCTGTGCTGGCCCTGCGGCGATGCAGCCTTTGTTGCCCCGCCGCACCAGGCGTTTCCTTGGCCTGCAGAGGGGGCGGCGTAGCGTTGCCAGCTTGTGAGTTCAATGTCAGGTGGTGAGCGTCCATTTGGTCCTGAGACCAGCATGGCCTCACTGGGATGATGGGAGCAGCTCCCAGGCCCTCACCTAGAGCATGCTGAGCGGCCAGAAGCAGCAACGCCGCAACCAGCAAGCGGGGCCACATTGCCGCGGCCGGAACAACCACTTGCACAGCCTGAGGACAACGCAATAGGGGACAGAGATGCGCACGAAAGGCCTGGAAAGCGGAGGAGGCCGCCAGAAGAAGAAGATCAGAGGCGAATACGCGGGACCGAGGAGATTGTTACCTCCCGATTTCGGCCGAACTGGTCCCGAGGAGACGGGGCCGGGGGCTCCCGTGTGTAAAACGATCGCGAGGGGAACATATGTCCAGTTCAGCCGCGATCGATCAGCCGCCGCCTCTTGGCCGCCGCTGCCCGCCTCCCCGCCACCCGCGCCGGCACTTGTGGTGCAGGGCACTTGTGGTGTGGTGTCCCGCACCATAGCATATTGCATGGTGCAACAAGCAGCAGCAGTACCTCACAAGCGCTTTGGGGGAGGCCAGGGAGGCGGAGGTGGCTGGAGAAACCTGTGGTTGCATGTCGCCTTGCTCCACCCCTGTTTTGTTGCTTTCTCTGCTTTCACCCGGTTCCCGTCCCGTTTCGGCGGGGAGTCTATGTTGCAAGCTAGTTCTTGCTTTACCAGACTTTAAGCCCACACAAGCAAGTGCCGCCACGTCAGGAGGCATGCCGGACATGCGGCGCGCTCCCGACGCCGGCGATATGATGCAGGCGCCGGCCTGGCGATCTACCACCTACCAACTTCAACATCCTTGCATGCTGTCTACAAACTGCAGCCACACATTCCACTTGCACGCAGCGCAACCAGCCTGCACCTTTGGGTTTCGTTTGTTTGCTGCAAGGTATAGCTTTACTTAGGGGCAATGTGGGGCACAGAGTGTAAGCGGACAAGGCGCCGTCTCGGGCAAGGCCTGCCCTGCCTGCCGCATGTACTCCCACAACAGGGCTTGCGGGTTGCAGTCGGGGCCAGCACCCAACCCTCTCACTGCTGCTCCCGCAGCACCGCCCGCACCAGCGTGTTCTTGCCCAGCAGCAGTGGGGCCTCGTTCCCACCCCCGCCGCCGCTCGCGCCTCGGCGCTGGTGCCTGTGGCCGCCAGCACGCTGCGCAGGGCGCGGAGCTGGCGGGGACAATTGTGACCATCGCTAATCATCATAGGCCCCCTTGCCGCCCGCTAGAACTAGGCCATACTGCAGTGTAGTGCAGCCACAAGATGGTGGAGAGTGGAAAGAGGGAAGCTGGTTGGTTTCGGCGCCTCTGCTACGCCCGCTGCCCTGCGCGACAGCTGCCGACGCACCAGTACTCCCTCCCTCCCCTCCCTGAAACAAACAGCAACCACTGCTCTGGACGTGTCTGCCCGGCCGCCCGTCCTCGACGCTTGTGCAGCCTGTGGATGAGGCACAGCAGGGCAGATTGAATGCTGATGGCCGGGCCAACTTGTCTGGCACAGCAATGAACCTTCACCACCGACGGGCAGCCTGCGAGGGGCTGGGGTACTGGCTGCCCAGTCCTGAATGACGCCGTGTGGGCCTTCGTTTGTTGCAGGAAAAGCCAAAGAATCGCACGAGATACGAGATAAGGGAAGAACAAGCAGGTAGAGCAGCAAGGACGAGAGGTTCACAGGGCATCAAGTATCAGGCAGTGTTGAAAGATGGATGGTATAACAAAAAAGTTGTCATAGTGTACAGTACTGTAGACTGCAGAAAATTGGTGACTTAACTAGCGCCGTGTGTATAGCGCATAGAGGAAAGCACCTATAACCGCGCAGTTGAGGACGGCCTTGGTCTTCTCCACAAAGTCCAACGTGGCCTTGACACCGCCGAGGTCCTGCCTGAGACAGCTGATGGCGCTGATGGCGTTGTCGATCTTGGCGTCCAGCGCGCCGATGGCGTTGTCGACCTTGATGTCCAGCGCGCTGATGGCGTTGTCGATTTTGGCAAACCGGACGTTGTTGTCCGCTTGCGCTTGGCTTATCAGAACTTTCAGCGCGCACAGCTCAGTAGTGAACTCATTCTTGAGCGAGCTGTGCTTCTTGGTGTTATCCGTCAGACTTGTGATGAAGCCGCAAAGTAACGGAGCAGTAGCACCTATCAGCATGCTGCCCACCGACAGGTAAACTTGGGACGCCTTGACACTGTTGGGGATGATGCGCGTCAAAACCTCTACCATCGTCTCCTCCTCCTGCTTGGTGGGTGGCAGGGGGTCCTGCAGGCAGCAATTAGGTCAGGTCGATTCAGGGTGCCAGTGAGTTGAGTGGCAGAGTGTGTTGGAGCATGGTGGCATCCCAGCAACCTGTCACACTGGTTGAGCAACACAGATGCGCACATTCAGCAGCAGCCGAAGCGACCACCACCCCATGCATCAGGCGAGGCGATGCATGAAACGGCTGGGCGCAGCAGCCATCGGGCGGGTTGCAAACAGGAGAGGCACGTGACATACGGCAGGTGGGTGCTGCGAAGCGAGCTTACCTGCTGGCCACGCCCATTACATTCACCATCTCCTTCCTCTTTGCGGGGAGCAGCGCCGCCAGGACCGCCGCCGCCACCGCCGCCAGTGCTGTGCAGTGGAGGGGGCGAAGACTGCGAGGCCGGATGGACTGTTGGGCTGGGGGGGCGCGTGAAGGGAGACACCGGACGCGCGCTGAGCTTGCCGTCAGGCTGGCTCCAAGCTCCTGCAGCACATGGGAACAACAGGAACTGCGCTGTGGGTGCAGATAGACTGGACAGCAGGGCAAGGAATGAGCGGACACTCGGCCAAAGCGGAAGCTCCAGCGGGTGCAAGCCTTGCCTGTGCCTCGGTGAAAGCGGAGCCAGCCACCCCCGCTCACACCAGCTGCGGCGGCCCCTGCAGCAGGAGGAGCTGTGGGTGCTTGAGAGCAGCGGCCCTGAGAAAGAGAGACAGGCGCTTCTTGCCTGGCGTTGCTTGCCTGGTGCCGTGCGGTAGGCCCCGACGTTGAAGCTGCAGACCACGCTGCAGCTGGCAGGCCACGAAGACGGGAACAGCTTGAAGTGCCGCACAGCCGCCGCCGTGTCGCGCTACCTATGCTACTGCCGGTGGGCTCGGTCTACATTCGACACGCAGCTGTGAAGAAGAAGAAGAAGAAGAGAATACGCGGGACGCGTGATTTGTACCTGGGCCGTACTGGGAGGAAACGGGGTGTCAAGCCCCTGGCTCCCGTGTGTAAAACGAGGGGGAACAAAGGTGCAGGTCAGCCGCGATCGATCAGCCGCCGCCTCTTGGCCGCCGCTGCCCGCCTCCCCGCCACCCGCGCCGGCACTTGTGGTGCAGGGCACTTGTGGTGTGGTGCCCCGCACCATAGCATATTGCATGGTGCAACAAGCAGCAGCAGTACCTCACAAGCGCTTTGGGGGAGGCCAGGGAGGCGGAGGTGGCTGGAGAAACCTGTGCCGCCACGTCAGGAGGCATGCCGGACATGCGGCGCGCTCCCGAAGCCGGCGATATGATGCAGGCGCCGGCCTGGCGAGCTACCACCTACCAACTTCAACATCCTTGCATGCTGTCTACAAACTGCAGCCACACATTCCACTTGCACGCAGCGCAACCAGCCTGCACCTGTGGGTTTCGTTTGTTTGCTGTAAGGTATAGCTTAACTTAGGGGCAATGTGGGGCAAAGAGTGTAAGGGACAAGGCGCCGCATCGGGCAAGGCCTGCCCTGCCCCCCACATGCACTCCCACAACAAGGCTTGCGGGTTGCAGTCGGGGCCAGCACCCAACCCTCTCACTGCTGCTCCCGCAGCACCGCCCGCACCAGCGTGTTCTTGCCCAGCAGCAGCGGGGTATCGTTGCCGCCGCCGCCGCCGCTCGCGCCCTCGGCGCTGGCGCCTGTGGCCGCCAGCACGCCGCGCAGGGCGCGGAGCTGGCGGGAGGTGGAAAGCAGGGCCTTGGTGGCCTGGCGGGCCGAGGTGTCAGACCCCTTCTGCTGCTCCAGCTTGGTCAGATACTTCTGGTCCGCGCTGAGCTTGAGCGCCAGCAGCCGCGCCACCCCCTCCAGCTTGCTCAGCACGTCGGGCTGACGCGCCAGCGACTGGGCGCGGGCCGCCGCCCCGGGCGCGGGCGAGCACACCAGGCGCTGCCACAGCGCCACAACAGACATGAACACCTCCTGCATGGGGTGAGGTTGGTGTGGATGGGAAGCGGGTGAGGACACAGTTCAGGCAGGTGAGCAAGAGAGGGCAGCAATTCTCGACAGGATGGCAGGGCGGCAGGCTGACCGTGGGCTGGTGGTGATGGCCAAAGGGTTGAGCAGCGGGCAAGACAGGAGAGGGATCAGCAGGAACGAACCCTTCCCCGCACACCCAACCACACACGCAAGAGGAGGGCTCACCTCCTTGTCTCGCTGCTGCTGCAGGTGGTCCCCCAGGGAGGGCAGGAAGTTGCCGGCGCCAAACACGGCGTCGGCGTGCGGCCTGCACGTGTTGCAATGCACAGACCCAGGCGCAGCACCGCGCGAGTCACGGCCAGGGGCGTCTCATGGATGACAGCACACCAGCAATGCAGAGGGCCAGGCCGGTGCATCCCTAGGAGCTGCCAATCCCCAGCAATCCCCTGACTGCCCACCCACCAACCACCAGCCCACCCAGCCAGCCAGCCCCGCCCTACACCCACCCTGCCCTGCAGATGTTGGCCAGGCAGGCCAGCGCCGCCCGCAGCGCCTCCGCCGCCTCCTTGCTGCGGCACGGCGCCCGCACTACGCCCAGCAGCACCGGCAGGCCGCCGCCGACGACCACGATGTCGCAGCAGGCCGGCACCGCCTCTGTGCAGAGGGCCAGGCCGGTCAGGGCGGCCACAGCCTGCGGGTGGAGGGGCAGGGAGCGAGCAGGGGAAACACTGGAACGAGTGCCGATGCTGCACCGCGCACGGGATGCCAGCCAAGACACAACGCAACCCCTGGCAGCCTGGGGCACCCCAGCAGCAGCCACAGCAGCAGCAGCCACAGCAGCAGCAGCTCACCGAGGCAGGGTGCTTACTGGCCAGCAGCGCATCCAAGTGCGCATGTGTGCGCGCGCCAAGCGACCGGTGGGGGGCGGCGGCTGCGGCAGCAGGCGCACGAGGTGGGGCGGGTGGCGGTGAGTGGATGGCGGCGGCAGTCTATCCCCCCCACCCACCCCTGCAGGTAAAGCGACCTGCAGCCCCCCCACCACACAGACACACACACACACGAACACACACCACACACCTGCATCTGCAGCAGCGGCCGCCAGCCGCAGGCGTATGTCGGCCAGCTGCTTGCGGCGGGGGTGGGTGGCGCGCACGTTGGCCCCCCGCCAGGCCGTCTGCAAGAGGTCAGGCAAGGTTGCAGGTGGGGGGCGCCGCACTTGGCGGTTTGCTTGCTTGCATGTGCCGCCGCATACATACAAGGCATCGCACAACAGGCGCACAGCACAGCCGGCTGGCAGCCGGCATTGGGCAGCCCTGGGAGCACCCCCCCCCACACACACATGTGTACACACACAGTCACCTCCATTGCACACCCACACGCACCTGCACCGTCAGGGCCGCCCGGCGGCTGCGCAGCAGGCGCTGCCGCGCCAGGAGGCGGCGGGCTGCGGCCTGCAGGGCTACCGCCGCCGCCTGGCGCCGAGCGTACCGCAGGCGCCACCAAGCCTGCAGCAGCAGGGCTGCGCGGCGGGCCCGCAGGAACCAGGCCCTGTCTCGGAACGTCTCCGCCCAGGGGGCAATCACAGCCAGTGCCGCGGCCTCCCGCGCCGCCTGCCGCCGCTGCGCCTCCAGCTGCGCCGCCAGCAGCCGGCGGTACTCTTTCCTCCCCACGTGACCCCGGTACGCGGCCTGCGGGTGAGACAGGGTGAGCGGGTGAGCACAAGGGAGCGTGAACAAACAGCAGGGAGCGGGTGAGGCAGGCAGGGACAGCCTGGCATCAGTCAGCGCAGTGCTTCCCCCACCACGAAACCGCCCATAACCTTAGGCAGCATCACCCAGCCTCCCCCCCCCACACACACCCCAATACACACAGCCCACCTGGATGTGCAGCGCCGCCGCCGTGCGCCGCTGGTACTCCCGCATCAACGCCGCCATCTCCCGCATCTGACGCCGCACCGCCGCCACGGCCGCCGCCCGCCGCCGCTCCCGCCAGCGCCGCACCGCCGCCTGGATGGTCGCGGCGGCGGCGGCGGCGCGGGCCAGGCGGCGGCGAGCCAGGAAACCGCGCGCCGCGCTGCGGGGGGGGGCAGGCGACGTGCAAGGGGGGCAGGGGCCGCGTTTGGGTTGGCAGCCAGACAGTCTCCAGCTGGTCCAATCCCCTGTCCGCCGGGCGAGCGGCCAGCAGCCTGTCCCCAGCCCTGCACCCACCACCAACTCCCCACTCCTGATGCACCCTCCACCGCTCACCTCTGGATGGCCACAGCCGCCCGGGTGCGGCGCAGCAGGTGCCGCACAGCGTATCCCCGCCAGCCCGCCTGCACAGCCACCGCCGCGGCGCGCTGGCGCAAGAACCGCGCACGCTGCCGCCAGCGCCGCACTGCCGCCTGTATCGCCACCGCTGCGCAGCGCCGGCGCTGGAAAGCCCGCTGCGCAGCGTGGCCGCGCCAGGCGGCTTGGATGGCCACCGCGGCCGCCTGCTGCTGCTGGCGCCGCTTGCGTGTGGCATAGCCCCGCCACGCTGCCTGCACGCGCTGCGCAGCGCGGTGCTGCTGAAGCAGGGCACGGGCCTGGCGGGCGCGCCAGGCGGCCTGAATCGCCACCGCCGAGGCACGCAGGCGCAGGAAGCGGCGCCGCGCGTGCCACCGCCGCCAGGCCGCCTGCAGACAGACTGCCGCCGCCCGCTGCCGCGCCAGCTGCCTGCGTGCCGCGCCGCCGCGGAAGTGCGCCTGCACGGCCACCGCCGCGGCGCGCTGCTGCACAAAGCGCGACCGCTGCTGCCAGCGCCGCACCGCGGCCTGGATGGCCACTGCTGCGCTGCGCTGGCGCAGGAAGGCGCGGCGCTGCACGGTACCGCGGCGCAGCACCTGCACACGAGTGGCGGCCCTGGCCAGCCGGCCCTCGTACCTGCACCATACGCGTTTGGCAGGGGCAGGGGCAGGGGCAGGGGGGGATGTCAGGGTGCATCATGGGCAGCAGACATCAGTGGTGTGGCGCAGGCGGGGCAGCCACCACCGCACCAGCAAAGCATCACACCTGCCCACCCATGCCCCCCCGCCCGCACATGTCCCTCATGTCCCTCCCAAACAGCCACCCACCTGCTGCCCTCCAGCCGCCGCTTGGCAGCCAGCCCCGCCTGTAGCATGCGCGGCACAACCATGTGGTGGAAGAAAGCGCGGCGCTGCCGCCTGCCGCGGTACGCCGCCTGCACAGGCGCGGGCATGGGCATAGGCAGGTGGGCAGCCAGGCGGGCATTGAGCAGGCAGGAAGACGAGTGGGGGCGCCGGCGAGAATCAGCGGTGCCAGATGGGCGCGCTGCGCTGGCTACCCCCAGGATGCCGCCCAATGCGAGCAAGCATGCCCTCACCTGTATGCAGATGGCCGCCTGCCGCTGCTGCTGGTACTGCCGCCGCACCGCCCGCCCTCGCCACACCGCCTGCAGCCGCACCACCGCCGCCACGCCGCGCCGCCGGGCCGCCGCAAAGCGCTGCAGGCCGCGGCGCAGCAGCCAGGCCCGCACCGCGTGTTGCACCACCGAAGCCGCAGCAATCCACCTGTGCAGGTGCTCTCGGACAGAGCCTGCACGGCATTACAGCAGCTCATCGGCACGACCCCCCCAGGTAGGCGGGAGGGCAAGCGAGTGCGCGCTGCGCTGCACACGGCAGCATCCGCTGGGGCCAGCCACCACACCAACGCCCAGCCCGGCGCGCCTGGCTTGTCCTGCTGCCGGTTGCGCCAGCGCCTCTGAATCACCATGGCCGCACGCTCCTCCTTGCTGCACGGCACGGCACGGCATGGCAGGCGGCGGCTCCAACAGGCACAATCGGACACCCGGCCGGGTAGGGTGCAGGCAGGGCATGAGCAGGCGCAAGCGGCAGCGCAAGCGGCAGCGCTTCAGGCAGAGCACAGGCGCGGCCGTCAGCAGCCCCGTCTGCGCCCCGCCGCACACCTTCGCCTCGCCTGCCGCCCGCTGGCCACCGCCGCACACCACGCCCACCTGATCTCCAGCAGCCTCTGGCAGAGGAAGGCGGTGAACAGGATGCAGCCCTTCTCGTCGTGGCCACACTCCGCAAAGTCCTCGGCTGCAATGCAACGCGGTGAGAAGGCGGGAGGAGGGGTTGCGGCGATGGGCGATAGCCGAGCCAGCATCCCCAGCACACATGCCGCTTGGGAGCTAACCAAGAACCTTGGATGATCCCGTGAACCCACAAGCACCGCCTGGCGCTCTGTGGATGCCTCATGCGCTGAAATGCTGAAGCCCCGACGGCAGCCCCCACTGGCGCCCAGCCTGGCGCCCAGCCTGGCACCCTGCCCTCCCCTGCACCACCCCCCACTCACCCGACACAATGGGCGGGATGCCGCCCAGCGACTGCACCACACCCTGCACCATCCCAAAGTTGCGGCGCGCCCCTTCCAGCTGCCCGGAGACGGTGCTTGCCGGGCCCGCCCAGCCTGCACACAGGCAGGCGGCCGCCGGACGGGGAGCCAGGCAGCCGCACGCCTCAGGACGCAGCCGGGGCAGCGCAGGTTGCACACAAGGCGCGGGATGGAGCCGCCCACCACGACAAACAACGGCCACAGCAAGCAGGCAAGCCCAGGGCTCGCCAGCACAGCTGCTTCAGGCTGCTGTGCCCGACTCACCGGCGGCGGCGGCGGGTGCCTCCTCGCCTCCCTCCCCACCTGCTGCCGGCCGGTACACATCTTTGAGAGCCACATAGGCGTGGCCCAGGTAATGGTGCACCTGAGGTGGGGAAGTGGGCAAGTGGCAGGAAGGCAGGAAGGCAGATGGGCAGGCAACACACAACGTCGGCCTGCTGTGGGTGACCAACCCATTGGAAGGTGGCACGGCTGCTCGGGTGGGTGCCAGCGCCTGGTGGGGCCCCCCCTGCCCCAGCCTCCCTGGCCACCCACCAGCAGGCAGAAGACGCTGCCATCCGCGAAGCAGGCCCCAAAGCCGCGGACGGGCAGGCCGTACAGGGAGGCGACGGCCGCACACCACTCCAGCAGCGCCGCCACGTGCGGGCTGCCGGCGGCCACCTCCTCCTGTGGCGCCAACGGCGCGGCTGCGGCAGCGGCAGAGCCGGCGCCTCCAGCGGCGGCAGCGCTGCCAGCGACAGGAGCTGCCTGTGCCGCCTTGGCACGCACAAGCTCGACCTCGGCCCGCACGGCAGACAGGTTGATGAGCTGTACCAAGGGCAGGTGGGCGGGACGGTGGCGGCAGGACGGTGTCGGAGAGGGCATGCGTGTCGTGGCCGGCTTTGGGCGCATCCCACAGCGCATGCACGAACCCTCCACCTGCATGCATGCAACAACCGCGGCCCGCCACAGAGCCCCACCTGAGGCAGCTGGAAGTGCAGGATGAGGCGCCACAGCAGGCACAGCGTCTGCTGGCGGTCGCCATCCACCAGGTCCGCCGCCGCGGTTGTACAGCCCGCCGCCGCCGCTGTGCTGCCGCCCTGCTGCTGCCGCTGCTGGCCCGCCTGCTGCGGGGGCAGCCCCGCCCGGGCAAACTGGTCCAGGGCAAGCTGCAAGTTGGCCAGGCGCACGGGGCGGCGGTCGCTGGGGAATCGGGTGGAGTCGAAGAAGCGGGGGTGGCCTGCAGCACGAGGAGGGGTGCAGGGTAGGCGTGTGTGGGTGCATGTGCAGGTTGCTTGAGGGAGTGGACGGGCAGAGGGTGAAGGGAGTGGGGCCTTTGCAGGCGGGACGTGCAGGGAGCGCAGGGGCAAGAGGAAACGAAGCGGCAGCGACGGGCAGGCAACCCCAGCACCGGCAGCGGCAGCGGCCGCCACCGCCGCCAACCAGCGCGAGCCGCGGGCTCCGGCAGGCGGCGGCGTGCGCCCACGCACACGCGCCTGTCAGCAGCTCAGCCAGCTTGCACAGCCGCAGGCCGTCACGCAGGTCGGCCGCCATGTTGGAGACTGCTCTCGGGAGGGCGGGAGGGGGGGGGGTTGGGCGGGTGACCAGGCAGGCGGCAATGGGGCAGGTGCAGGTAGGGAGGCAGGCAAGCAGACAGCTGCCTGCTCCGGCTCCCTGTGCGACCCCCACACACGAGCCAGGCGGGCAGGCGGGCAGGCCAGGCGCGGCAACCGCCCGACCGACACCCAGCCAAGCCCGCACCACCCACCCGCAAAGTCCAGCTCCCGGCGCGGGTCCTGCTCATATCCCAGGCGGTAGCCCAGCCGCCCCAGCGTGCGCCCAACGTCGCCCTCCCCCACCAGCCGCGGCTGCACCAGCTCAGCCAGCACCTGCAGAGATGGGGAGGCAAGGGGAGGGGGGGGCATGGCGGGACAGGGCGGGAGCAGGGGCAACGCTGCGCATCGCCGCTTGCCAGCAAGCAGACCACGTCGGCACAGCCTTTTCTGTCGCACACCGCACACCGCAGCGCAGCGCACGCAGGAGGCGTGGCAGCACCCCACAGGGCTGCCGGGCCAGCAACGGCTTGCCTGCGCCGATGCCTTGAGCTTGCTGTCTCGGCGGAACAGCAGCGGCGCCGCCGCGGGAAGGGCGGGCGCCGCCGCCACGCGGTCCAGCAGCGCCACCAGCAGCAGGCAGCGCTTGAGCACCAGCCTGGCCAGCGCTGCCTGCAGGCATCAGCCGACAGCCAAGCCAGCACATCAGCCGAGGGTAGATTGTAGTGCAGCCAAGTCAGCACCACACAAACGCCACCCACTGACCAACACGCATGCAAGCATGCAAGCAAGGGGCTCCCAGCTCCTTGCGGTGCCCAGCCCCTGCCTGCCTGGGTTGCAGCAGTACCCACCGCTCCAGCACCCCGCCCCGCCCCACCCCTCCCCACCCAGTATGCTTTGCTGCTGGCGGGGTGCTGCTTGGCCAGCTGGGGGTCCTTGAAAAACTGCTCCCGCACAAACGCCGCCAGATGCGCGGGCGCCGCCGGTGCGTCGTCGCCTGCAGCCAAGGCAGCCCGCCGGGAGCGGCGGCACCAGCGCTCGACTCATAACTGGCCGCCGACGGGAGCGGCGGCGGCGATAGTCCTGGATCCCTCGCTCCTGGACGGTCCAGCAACCAGCCAGGGCTGGACGGGCTGGCAGCAGCGGACAGCAGCAGCTGTGACTCCCCAGCACAGGACCCCCACGCCGCCCCCCTCCCCCAGCCGCCATGGCCGCACCTGCCACCGCGCTGCCGCACACGACCTCCATGCCCAGACGCAGCCAGAGCGGGTGGTAGGAGGCCAGCACCGCCCGCGCCCGCGCCCCTTCCTTCACATTCTTCATAGTGGCCTCCTGCCCGGCAGCAAGCAGGCGGGCAGGCGACAGGGCAGCAGGAGTGTGGCGATGGCAGCAGCAGCGGGCGTCAGGCACCCTCAGCTTTCGGTCAGCCGGCAGCGGCCAACATGGTGCACCTGCGGTGCCCCGACCTCCAGGGCTTGAAGCAGGCAACACTGAAGGTAAGTGATTAAGTGAAACTCTACAACCCACCTCGTCCCGCATGCGCATCTGCCCGCTGTTGATGCGCTGCTCTACTTTCAGCATCACGCTGCGGGCGGGCGGGTATGCAGCGCATGCAGGCAGGCGGCATTGATGGATGGGAGGGGGGTGGCAGGAGGCATGCAGATCCAGTTCCAGGCCGCAGGCAACGCCAGAGACGCACTTTCCCCCCAACCTGATCAGCTCTGCATCCTGGCTGTACAGCTGCCACAGCAGGCCACGCAGGCGGGCCACCAGGCGGCGCGATGCCAGGGCATGCAGCTGCGCCGCTGCTCCCTCGTCACTCTCGCCGCCCTCCGCTGCTGCCGGCACCAGCACCGCATTCAGCCAGCCCTTGAATGCCGCCTCCTGCTTGTCCATCCAGCTGCAAGCGGTCATTCAATCGGGGGGGCAGTGTATTCAAGCAAGGCTTTGCGGTTGATCAAGCAGGGTGGATGGCGGCAGCTGCGTGCAGTCAGCCTGGCCATGTCCTGACAGGAGGCTTACCCTGTGTGACACTGTGTGAAGCCCAGGGGCCCCGGTGGAGGCTTGTTCACCGCTGCGGGCTGCAGGGCCTGACGGTTGGCCGGCCCGAGCGGCGCCCGGCCGCCGCCGCCACTGGCAGCCGCCATTGCTCCAAACGTCTCCATGCGCCGCGCTACCTCACTCGGCGGCCGCGCTGGGTCCTGCTGACGGACTGCACGCGCGGGGTAAGCCGCAAATCGCTACACAGCGACCCCAACAGGGGAGCTGGCTGTCAGAGGGCCTTGGACTATTCTGGGCGCCCCCAGAGACCCCCAGTATGTGCTGGACGCCGCAAAGAGTGTCTGTGCAATCCTTCCAGCACTGCTACCGCTCCTTCGAGCGGGGATGCGCACCTGTCCAAAGGATGGTGGCTGTCACTGGCTGCCTCTCCCCGACACAGCACTAGACCCTTGCATGCCATGCCTGGCCTGGTGGTGGGTTGTGTGTGGCGCTGAGGGCGGCGCGACGCCGAGCTGGTCATAGTCTTGCCCCGGTGGAAATTGCGGAAACATGCCCAGCGCGCTGCCGCTGCAGCGAGGTATATGGAACGTCTGTACACAGTTTTCCAATCGCTGTCTCGCACGGCTACGTCACGTTCACCATCGCTGAACTGGCACGAGCCCTGGCACCGTCTTGCCTCGTCACCTCGACTGTGAAAGCAACTAGCGCTGCCGCGTCTGCGCCGCCCGCGCCGACAGAGCGCAGCAGGGTCGCCCGCAGCGCCTCCACAAAATGTGGCAAGCCCTTGGGAAAACATGCGGGCTCAGCTGCCCGGTTAGCCTGCGTGGTGGCCGGCTGTCTCTCTGCAGAGCGCCGGAGCGCCGGAGCCTTCAGTGCCACGCCCGCCGGCGCCGCCGGTCAGGCGGGGACGAGCCCGCCGGTGCGCCGGCAGAAGCGCTGGTCTCTCAGCTGCTGGAGCGGCTGGCGAGCAAGGAGGATTTTGCCAAGCTGGGCGAAAAAGTAGATGCAGTTGACAAGAAAGTGGACGCAGTGCGGCAGGAGCAGCGGGAGCAGAGCAAGAAGGTGGACGCAGTGGACAAGAAAGTGGATGCAATGAGCACCTTGATGGGCAGCCTGTACGATGCAGCGGCCGCTGGTGTGCCGGAAGACCGGCGCCGCATCGTTTACCGCAATCCTCTGTCGCTGGCAGCAGACTGTGGCCTGCCGCACGATGCGGCGGCAGGGGAGCGCGTGGCGGCTGTGCTTGTTGAAAAGGTGCGGGGGCGGGGCTTTCCCAGGATGGCCGTGGGAGCTGCACAGTACGCTGTTGCAGTCACCCTTGTTTAAGTGGTTAGCTGCCAGCGTGTGTCAGCCCAGCCTGCCCATCCATTCCCTCTCTGCGCCTTGCCCTGCAGCACGAGGCAGCACATGCATTCCGCATGCAGGTGATGCCCGTGGTGCTGCGTCAACAGGCCAAGGCATCAGATGTGGAGCAGGCGAGTGCGGGGCCCATTGTTCCTGCGGCCTGCCCGTGCGCCTGCATCCCTTCCCGCCGCCTCTTTGCCTGCTGCTTGTTGCTTGCCGCTTGCTGGTGATTGCGGCAGCACGTCTTGACCACATCACCTGTCAGATTGGCTTGCATTCATGGCCATCCTGCAATGAACTGTCACCACTTCGACGTGCTGCAGGAAGGGCTGCCTGCCGTGTCCAGCTGGCGTTCGCTGCCACAGCCGCAGACGGCAGCCGAGTGGGCTCGGGAGGAGCAGGCGCTGCGCCAGGTGACTGCTGCTTCCCTGGAAAGCTTGGCAGGCGGTGCAGAGCTTAGCTGTGGCTGTGCTGCATCGGGAAGCGCGCGGACGTCTGCCGGAACAGGAGCTGACCACCTTATGTTGTGTGCCCTGCCCGGGCTGCGGCGCAGGTGGCTGGAACTCTCAAGCCGGGCTCAGAGGTGCAGCAGGCTGTGCTGCTGCTGCGCAAGTACAGCACAGGTGTGTCTCCCACGGCGGGGTGCATCCTGCCAGCTGCTTTTGCTTGCCACTGGGTGGTGTTGCGGCAGAGTAGCGCATGCTACGCAAGGCCAGCAGCTGCTCACCGCTCGCTGCGCCCCGTGTCGTCTCCTCCTCGTGCAGCCGCGGCCCAGGTGGAGGCAGAGGGGCGGCCAGATGCTCTGCGGCAGCTGCTGTCGTCTATGCCGCCACCTGGTGCCAAGGAGTGGCCGTCAGCCATGGCTCTTGCCCAGGGCCTGGCCGGCATGTGGAGCCGGGAGCTGGAGTTGGACGCGCCGCTGCGGCTGGGGCTTGGCTCGGACAGCCTGGTCATCCAAGAGACCAAGCTGACAGCCGGGGGTGAGCCCTGGGATGGGAGGTACCAGCCGTGTGAGACGGTGCTGGCTGGTGCCGACGGTTGCATCACTGCAGTCCGCTGTGCGCTGTGGGCTGCCATGCTGATTGGCGTTGTCTCTCTGCTTGACTTGCCTCCTGGCTTCCTTCCGCTGCTGCCCACACCCCTGCACCGCCTGCCTGGGTGTGCAGGCGTCAGCAAGGCCATGCGCCAGCTGCGGCACGCCTTCCGGCTGGTGGCATGGCTGCACTTTGCGCTGGGCGCTCCGCTGCCGCGGCTGGAGGGGCGCATTGTGGTGCCTCACACAGAGCTGCGAGAGGCGCAGCGCAAGCTGCACAGAACCAGCAGGGGCGTGCAGGACTCTGTGCCTGGCGGGGGCGGCGCCAGGTTTGATGTGTCCATCATGGCGGACACGGTGTAGCTGACCCGCATGCCTGGCTGTGGTGCGGACGATGTGGCCAACTCTCTTGGCTTTGATTACAACAAACAATTCTTTCTTGAATATTTTGATGGATTCTTTCTTTCTTTCTTGAATCTTTCTGTCTTCAATGTTTGATGTCTGCCCTTTTTCCACTCATGCCTCATGTTCACTGATTTTTTGCCTCCCCTTTCTGATGCTCGCCTCTGTTCTGCATGCTCCCTCTGTCCACGTGCATGCTTTCTGAGTACCCCTCTGCTACGTGTCCACCCTCCCCTCCCAAGTGCATGTTTTGTGTCACCGCATCTTGCAAGCCGTAGCCATCTCTCGCCCCTTGTAACAATGCTTGTACTTTGGATAAGGCGTGCAATTGCGGTGGCAATATGCTGTGGCATTGCCCACCTGGTGCAGCGGCAGCCGGCAATGCTGATGAGAGATTTCCAAGAGGGGGCTGCATATCTGGCGTCAGGAGGTGGTCAGATGAGGCAGGGCCAGGGAGGGGCAGGGAGCGAGCCGCCAGCTGCCACCTGAGCACCCCACCTGACTGAGGGGCTGAGCGGTTGCAAGCGGCCGCTGCCTGAGCACCCAACTGAGATCTGTCTGACTTCTGCATGACTGAACTGCTGCATTGAATGTAAGGCACGTGTTGGGCCCCATATGGGCAGAATGCAAAGGACGAAGAAGGGTGAAGAATCAGCAAGAACATATCGAGGGCACAGGGTGCGGTGCTGCCCACCCCGCCCACCATGGTTAATGCCTGCGGGGTGTGCACCCGTAGCGGCTCCGCTCTCCATCCCTAAAGGTTAAACCACACCCCAACTCAGCCTAATTGTGTTCTTTGCCCAAAGAAAGGGATCAGGGTGCAATCATGGCAAGACAAGGTCACCACTCTCCCAACTGCGACTGGAGGAACCCAGAGTTCCAGGGCAGGTTCGCTTACTTCAGCGTTGTCACAAGCCGAGCCAGAAGTCGTTCACAGTCACCAAGATGACGACCCAAACAGGCTGTAATCAACTGCACGGCCAAGGACACCGTAGAATGCGGCGGATGA